TGTATATGCATATGTATAGTGCGCGCGCATGTGCCAGGTACTTTTGCAATAACGCATGATGATCAGCTCCCCTTCTAATGGTTGACATTTTAATCCAAACATGATGGGTTTTTGTCTGGTTTGAATGCATGAAATCCTTTTCATATAGTTCGCTTCGAGCCCGATATAAAAATCCAAAATTTATATTTACTGAAAAAGATTAGAGTATTATTAAATTCAAAACTTTATCTAAAATATATATATATATATATATATATATAGAGAGAGAGAGAGAGAGAGAATTTCATGCTCCCACATGATCAATAACTATATAGGAATAATATTTTTGAAATGAGCACGAGTAAGTTACTTTGGAAATCCAACGATTAATACTTATTACCATCTCCAATAATCATTACTAGCTTTTTTTTATGTTTTATTGTAAAATTATGTTGTGGATTGATCAAATAAATATTTTTTAAATTTATAATTAAAATAAAACATCTAACGTTCCATATATATATCCCATTTCTAATACTTATTTTGGTATTAAAAACATTATTCTCGGAATGATGTTATTAATAAGTCAATGCACAAACTCCTAACACGTGACATATAATTTAACAACATTGAATAAAAGGGTAGAAACTTCAACGGAATATATTAATAAAGGAGTAAAAATCATTAAAAAAAATTATATAAAGACAAGAATTAAAAGGAAAAAAAAAAGTATAAGAGTACAAAAGCAAAAAGGGACATTAACCAATAACAATTTACTGGGTATTTATTGTTTCATATTAGAAATGAATATCTAAAGTATTTATTTAATAAATAATAAAGAAAATATAAATATTTCAAATTTCATCAGTGAAATTTAATCCAAACCCGATCTAAAACATATGCATTAGTATTATATTTTTTTTTCTGCATGAATAAAGTTGGTGGCTGATTTCTGCCTTTTCTACGAGCCTCTTGTTTCCATAGCTAATGCCTCGTCAGATCCAACATTTAAAAGGTTCGAGTCCAAAGTATCTACCCCCTCTTATTCGCTTGCGAGTCCTTATTCGTATGCATTTTTGTATTTTTCTACCCCACTTTGTGTTTTTGGTATTAAAAGTATATTTTGATGTTTTTTATGGCTTTAATATTTTTTTATCTACCCCACTTTGTGTTTTTGGTATTAATTTGATGTTTTTTAAATGAAATATGTTGGTATAATTTATAAAAAAAATAAAAATATTTATCCAATATTAAAAAGAAATACTTTTTTTAAGTCCTTATAAATATAAGATTCTTTTATTTATTAAATTAAATGAAAGTCATGGTGGATGGATTTTTTTTTAGCGAGTTTTCTAATACTATTATATAGATATTTATAATATATTAGTGAGATTTATTTATTTTGAATTAAATTTTTTATTTTTTATAATTAATTTTGATATTTATAATTATTAGAATAAAATTAAATAGCAGCTATTTAATTTAATTTAAAATATAATAATTTTTTAACAATCATAATATTTAAAAAACACAATATTTTATTATAATATTTTCAAGTTTAATAAAATCAGTTATTACATAAAGAATATATATACACGAAAAATATTTTATTTCCTTGATTTTTTCTTTTTATTCTTTTAGATGTATAAAGAATTTAATTATATCTTGAAAATGTTATATCTGTATGGATAAATAAATATTTTAAAAATAATTTTTTCATATTTTTAACCAACTTATTTATTTTTTTCATCTTAAACAATTTCTTCAACAAAATATATTTTTAAAATATATATAAAAATAAAAGTTATCATACTCTCGCACCATAGTATTTTGTATTTTATGCTTCCCCTCCACATATCCTCAAAATATCCACGTACACATAAATGCAGTGGCAACCATCCATGATCATCGTTTAAGAAAACTAAATGACCATTTGCTTCCTTCCCGACCACAATTACAAAAAAAAAAAAAAAAAAAAAAAAAAAAAAAAAACTAACTGAAAAGGCTCAGCCTTTTCCTGTAATGTATATAAAAAAATTATTATGGATTCAAGCGTGTAATAATTATTTTGCTCTTCATTGCTCTAGTAACTGCCTTGATATTAAGGTAAATTCATCTTTTTCAAGGAATACAAATATTATTTTTAAATTAATAAGGGATGATTTTATTATTCAACTTTGAAAATACATAGTGAAAATGTTATTTTACCTTTGAAATCTAGAAAAAAAAATGGTTTTTTGTTAAGGATTTTTTTTATTTTTTATTTTTTGTTAGCACACTAAAATAACGTTTGTATTTTGGCTGCTTAGAAAAATAATCTTGCATAAAAAATTTATTTGTCTTTACATTTTTTTTACAGTAAAATTATATGTTTAACATTTAACTTTTCAGGTTTTAAAAACGACTTCGAATGGCATTTGTTTTTGTGCTATGATTGTTTTGTAATAATAATACGCCATTGAATTTTTTTTTTTGTTATTTTTTTATTAAAATATTAATAAATTAAAAAAATATGATGACATGTGTACATATATATCAACACGTCAGAGTCCTCCATGTTATTTCAAAAGTGTGTGTAGACAATTATAGTGGCAAAAAAACCCGATTACTGTCTCAGCTGATGCACAAAGTTTTGGCCCAATTTTTGGATGGTGTGTTTGACAAGAGGAGGCGACAATGAGTTTTTGTCTCTTGCCCTTTGTTTTTTTACCATAGGCTTTGGTTTTCATGTCTTTAAAAGTTTATTTGTTTCATATTAGGTTTGATTTTTATTTTTTTTATTTTTATTTTTTTTTATTTTTATATTTTTTAAAATTAATTTATTTCAATTTTATTCCTAGTTAATTTATTTCAATTTTATCTCTCTACATTTAATTTAATTTATTTTTTTTATCTAATTTAGTTCTTATTCTTTTTATCATTTACATTTATTTTATTTTTTAAATTTTGTCCTTTATAATTTTCATTCATTTTTTTTAAATTTTGGTCCTCATTTTTTTCATTACTCTTTTTCTATCATTTTCTTCATTTATTTTGTTTTCAATTTAATCCTTAATTAGTTTCTCAATTATTTTTTATGCAAGATTTAATCCTCATTATTTTTATTATTAATATTATTTATAATTGAGGATTTTACTTTATAATTGTTTTGTGTTTGCTTTTTATAGAGTAGTCTCAGTCTCCTAACTCACCAGTTTCAATGATTTACCTTATTGGAGTTTGGTAATTTTTTTAAAAAATCCTTATTGAATTTTTTATTGCTTTTTATAGAGTAGTCTCAGTCTCCTTACTCAATCACCAGTTTCAATAATTTACCTTATTGGAGTTTGGTATTTTTTTAAAAAAATCTTTATTGAATTTTTTTTTTATTTTTTTCACATAACATTGACCTATTGAACCATCAACTTTGTGATTTGTTGAGCTTTTCTTTTTGTGGAGTTATCCTCATCTTATATCTAGGATCTCAAGTTAGTCGAGTTAATATGAGTTGACTTTTTAAAAAAAAATTAATTTTTTATTCGGTTTTATCATTTGCCATTAAATTATAAATCCTTAAACATTGTTATTTTTTCCACCTTCTTTTATGTGAGGTTGTTTCGAATTTGAGGTGGTTAAGCATCACAGCATCCCCTCCAGGAATAAGCAACGCATCTAGCTTGATGGTGGCAAAGTGGTGTATGTAGCCTTTTGTTTTTTTTATTTTTTTCTCTTTTCTAATTGTTTTTCGTGATGGCTTTAAAAATAAAAACCAAATCAACCTCAAAGGTTTGTTATAGTTAAGATTTCATCCTTATTCTCTTCATTATAATTTTTTTAATTTAAAATAATTTATAGAAGGGGTTTTTTCAATTTCATCATTGTTTTTCAATTGCAAATTTTTTTATTAAAAATAATTTATTAAATTAAGATTTTTTTTTAATTTCACCCCAAGTATATATTTTAACCTATCATATTTGGTTCCTACTTTTTTTATTGCTATTTTTTAAATGGTTTTTGCAATTGTTTTTTTTGGCAATTTCACCATTTTTTAGTTTTTTTTCTGTCAAATCTAATTTTTATTATTATTATATTTTTTTACCTTGCAATAATTTTTTAGATTATTTTTTTTTATTTCATCCTCCAATATTTAATTGAATGGTTGTTTAACATCTTAATTAAGTTCGAGTCTAAAATTTAATGATTTATTGGTTTAAGAGATTAACTTTGATTTATGAAATTGACACACAAGTTTCTATGGTTTTTTTGCTTTTGTAAATCTTTTTTTTTTCATTCTTTATCATTTTTTATTTTATTTTCTATGAGATTTTTAGTCAACTTTAAAATAACACAGGTCACCTTACTTCTAATTTCTTTTGTTTTTATTAAATTTAGTTTTTCTAATGAAATTTTGTTTTAAAATTGAATTGAATTAATTAATTTTATCCTTTAATATTTAATCTTTAACATTTTAAGGATCGAAAATTGAACTAAGATTTACAAAATTTATATCTTCTTGATATTTTTTCTAGGATAAAAAAATATAGTGATTGGCTTAATTTTAGTTTTTTATTAAATTAAATTTATTAATTGCATCCCTAACATTTAATTTTAATTTGAGGAATTTTATTTTTTTAATTATTTTATTTTTAAAAATCTCAAATCATAAATATGGTAGTTCATCATGTTTGACTCAACTTTTTTTTTCATTATTTTTTAATATTTTTAGACCTCAAATCAATAATCATAATTTTAGAATTTTTTCTTTAAAAAAATTACAATCTTGATTTTTTTTTCTATGATAAAAAAATAAATAAATAAACCCACAGGATAACTCGAGCAACCTATCTACTGTCAAACCCTTATAAGACCTTTTCCAGGACTATTTATTTATTTATTTTTGAGGTTTTCCGGTCCATGAAGTAATGCTTTCATAAAAGGCTTGCCTAATAAATAATCAATCGTAGCGTCCAGAAGTTTTGTTGTATATTAAGATAATCAAAAGTACGAATGCCTCCATGAGATGAAGCGAACCAAATTAAACATAAAGAAAACTAATAATATCCACTTTCTCTTAATTAATTGATCAACAGAATCTCAGGCAGGCACAAAGTGGAAGCTGCCCAGCAATCATATAAAGCAATACTTGTAAAGCTAACAGAAGAAACAAGCCCACTTTAAAACTATCAACCCCATTTATCTACTTTTATAGCTTCCTAAAAACTACAAGTCAGTCATCTACTGCGCGAGCAAAGAAATTAACCAGAGTAGAAGAGGATTCAGACTTCACCCCATAATTACAAGCCTCCCTTTTCTAGTACACCCAAAGGTAAAGGAGGTTGCAAACACGTTCATATCTCACCATAGACATGCCATCATTTCCAAAACGTCGAGGCGCTCGAGCGACAAACAACAAACAGGAGTGCGATGATAAACTTCACGGTCACCCATTGGCAACTGGGCAATCATTTTGCATTTGACGAACAAACTGACCTTTCACCCGAGGACGTTGCTCTGCCAGTCTTTTCCGACTTTGGTATCGAACCTGCATGTCAAAGGAAGTCTATGTTTAAGAATTGCAGATCATTTCACACGTCTCGGTATGTGATTTTGCTATCCTCACCACAGGCAATATCATATCATTCCTAGCAGCTGAATTCTAACTTTTCATGTCTATGTCCATGAGATCAGCACTACAGTTCTGTAGAAACTGAAATTTCCGAGCTAGTTTAGATTACTCATTGCAACATATGAAAATCAGCAACAGGAAGAGTTGACAAAAGGATGACAGCTTAAAGAATATTTGTGATAAGATACGACAGCTATATGACATGGGTTCACAAGCAGCTACAGATGGAGTCATCTCAATGCACATCAGCACAATATCTGCATAGAGCAATAAGTAGTACGTACCCTTTTCTCATAGCATCGATCTTTCCGCTTCAAGCGGAACTTTGTTAGAGCAGCTTCTCTTTGGCTGGAGCGATAGGAATCGCTCCCTCCAAAACCATCATGGTTGAAGTTACCCCCATTATTCAAGTTCTCTTGAGCCATGGACTTCTCAGCTGTCCCAACTGAAGAGGCATTTACATCGTTTCTACTGCCAAAGCTTTCATAAGCACTGCTATTATTATTATTGGCAACACGTTTACATAAACTACTACTATTACTCTGACCAGCAGCAGGTGAATCATGTCTCATTTCATCCACAGGTTCCCTATTGTTCTGCTGAAGATCATTTTGGTCAACATAGCAGTATGTAGTTTCAGCAGAACACTTCTGGTTTTGCTTGGAATCAAGAACTTCAGGATTTGAACGAACTGAGGCAGTTGTAGGAAATGGAGACTGTGGCCGCCCCGCAAGATTGGGATTCCACGCTGCATTTGATTGTGTATAACATAAAGGGGAGAAAACATGACCACATCCGGTAGATATATTGTCAAGCCTTGTACCTAAGACAGGAATCAATCCAAGTTGAGGGCTTGGATGTGCTAATTCCACCTTCACAGATTGGCCAATGACCGGAGTGGTCATAATTTCTTGATTGCCACTCAAAGAGACATCATGTATCTGAGAAACAGTACCAACATTTTGAGCAAGTTGATTGGATGACAGATCAGGAGACTTACTGGCTTCTTCCTTGGAATCTGAGCCATTACTGGCAGATGTTGGAAAAGGGGATTGCAGTGACTTACTATTGTACCTGCAGAGAGAACCTATGCGTTAATCAGAGAAGCATTTCCACATGTGACCACCTAGAGTTAAAAGAAATAACTTTCATTAAAATTCTGCAATCAGGATGCAGAAAACACATCATAAAAAGAAAAGACTGTAAAAACACAGCTCCTGTTCTTTGACAAATCAGTTAAAGCAGTGGATAAAATTATGTAATTATGATCCTTTCATTCAACGAATGGGGAACACCCTATCTAATATCAATACTGAATCTCACAGCCACCTATGCCATTAAATCCACCGTCTCCGAACTCCTGCTTCTTCCTTCATCTAAGCCTAATATTTTATTATAATAGAGAAAATTATACTGAATAAGCACAAGAAAGATGAACCTTACATGATAGCTAAATAATTATTTTGAAAATAAATATAAAAACAAGAGAAAGAAAAGCGAAACTGAAACTGAAACAAAAAAGAAGAAAACTTGAAGGGAGATAGACTCACTTCAAAGATGTTCAAAGATGTTAAAATAAAGCTTGAGATGGAAAACAGTAGGATGGCCCAGGTTTTATCTAATATTCAGTATTGGGTACACAAAAACTTACAATGAGAAGGCTGAGGAATTGGAATGGTTCAATGCATGTCTTTCATCTAGCCCTTGGTTCTTTGAGCTACTGGGATACAATCTTCTGAGAGAGAGTTCAAGTAGTGGAGGGAATTCAAACTTGTTTGTCGCATCATGTAAACTAGAGTATGCATTTGTGTGCTTTGGGCGATTATTAAAGGAACCAATCAAGTCAATGGCTCCACTTTCACCAAGTACATCATCGTGGCCAAAGGAGCTATTAGCATGTTCCCTATCATTTTCTGGTCTCGAGTTCTCATCATGAATCGCTGACTTAGCACAAGCATGCTCCTCTACCTGTCTCGGAGCAGTTGGATTATAAGCTCCATGGCACGGTTCCCTGTCATGTCTCGTCCTGCTTGACCATTCTGCTACAAGTACCGTGTTAGAAGTCCCTTTGTTAGGTATTACTGAACAAAGAAAGCAAAGTTTTCAAGCAGTTGTAGTAAATGATAAGTAAAAATTTGGAATGGAAACGTGAGACATACCTCCGGTCTTGCTCTCAGGATTTACTGGGCTTTTATTTAATATGGTATAATCTTCATGCTTCTCATTATCTGCATCGCTCAAATTTGAAGCACTCCTGTACTTCAGATGTGAAAGTCCCTGTATATTTTGCATGTGAGCACTCTCAGCTTCCAAGCAAGGGGTCGTACAAGAGCTCTGCACGGGAAGTGGCAAACATGCAGTCTCTATGTGATACTTTATAAAGCCAACCTAATCTGGAAAGAGAAATTTTCCTCGCACTACAAGTGTCCTCCATGAATTTCATCATGGATCCTGGATATATCTATAGTACTGCTTTATAGAGACTGTGCAATTTGATGAGCCAAAAGGAGTTGGGGAAGCAAAGAGGAAAATCAATTGATTCTCGGCAGGTTACATGAAAATACCGAATGAACTATTTCTTCCCCTGTCTGCATCGCATTCAGAAGCAGACATTTGGGAAAAGGGAGCATCGGTCAGTTCAGTTCGATTTGGACATAAGGTTCAACTGAACGAATTTTATTTTAAAATTTGAGTCGAACTGGAAAACCAGTTCAAACTAAACAGTTCAGTTAAGTTCTCGCAAATAAGTCCCATGGATCTTTTAATTGGGCTTTTTTAGAGGATTTGGTGCAATGGGCTTGGGCTTTTTTTAGTTTTTTATTGAAAAAAATCGAATTGGTTTGGATTTTTTTATTTCAGAACCAAAACTAAACCTAAACGATTTTTTTAAATTTTCTAAATAGTTTTTTGAGTTTGATATCTTGGGTCGGCCTTTCCAGTTAATTTTATGTTGGTTTATTTGGTTAATTCGGTCATTTTGCTTACCCTTATTTGGGAAATTGGCAGACATTACATTACAAGAATGGATTCAAAGACACAGACTACATATTTCTACAAGACTGACAATTAAGTGACCTAATACTCACTTGGGCATCACTCCCTTTCTCGCTGCAATCCTTATTTTTCTGCAAAGATGTCCCAAAATCACTCGAAGCTGCGTTGTTTTCAGATGCGGCCTCAACTTGATGCGAGTTTCCAGGGATTTTTCCAGCAATTAGCTGATCAATAATTTTAAAAAAAATCCATTAGGAGCATGCTTTTGAACCAGAAGAATAGAACAAAAAAAGAGAACGAAAAAATGAACTTGAAAGTTAAACATACAGTTTGCCTTCTCCAAACATGCTGCCACAAGTTCCTCAATTCATTCTTCCGAACAGGCTTAACGAGAAAGTCAGCTGCTCCTTTTAACATGCACTTCAGAACCACACTAATTGAATCGTGTGAAGACATCACTGTATGTTTATGATGCAAAAAATTCCTAACATTGTTTAGCACCACGACAAGCAAAATATCAAGATAGTAAAGTTAACATAAGCATGCTTTTACGTACTTATGACAGGAATGTTTTTGCAAACATCATGCTCCATGACCAAAGCAAGTAACGCATATCCTGATATTAATGGCAACTCCACTTCAGTTAATATGAGATCTATGCTATGGGGTCTCTCCTTCAAAGTCTCCCACGCCATTAACCCATCAGGAACAGCAGAAACTGCCCAGAGAGACAAGAATACATCTTCAGTCGAAGACCATGATACCGAAAATTGAAAATGTCATGATCTTTTTTATTATTTTTACAAATTGCAAACTCAAATTGTAATCGAAAATTAAATATAATGTTCAATTACATCATATAACAGATAAAGAAGGGGAAAGGAATCAACAGATTACAGATCAAGGGTCAGAAGTAAATTCATCCACGCTACATGGATAAATATTTTTCCATCAAGAGCAGCAAAAACAGTAATGCCACCTTATTCAACCAAGCATGATAAATAGATTTAACACAAATTCAGTTCCCTCAAAAACAAATCAGAAGTGAAATATCGAATTTTTTAAAAAAAAAAAAGGAAAGAGGAATCTTTATCAAAATCAGCAAAAACAAGTCAAGATGATAGTGCAGCCACGAGAGACTGACATGTTTATATCACCAAAAAAATTCAAATTGTTACTTAACAAAGATAAGTTGATCGAGAAGAAAAAAGAAATGAGAATTGAATTTAAATTAAATTAGACAGGAAAAAGCAATTACAGACAAATAAAATTGATGGTAAAGTCAACGAAGAGTGAAAAGCAAGAAATTAAAACCTCTGTAACCGCATTTTCGGAGAAGGGCAACAATAATCTGACGAGTAGAATCATCCGCTTCGACCAAAAGAACTCTGAGCACCATCTTTGGTAGAAACTTTTCCCATCGAACCACCTCCGACGATCCAATATCCTTCTTCTCTGTCTCTAACTCCACCACCATCCCCCCCGCCTCTTCACTACTGCTACTCACCACCACCTTACCCATTCTCAAACACGATGATACTTACACAAAACAAAACGAAAATTTTGAAAATTAACACAACAAACAAACCCTAATTTTCTGCAGAGAAGAAAAATCAAAATGAAAACTGTAGTAGTATCAGAAAGAAAGAACGAGAAGAGCGAGCGGGTTAATGTTAGAGCAAAATTAACCTCGTCCTTAGCAAGACAGTAATCAAAAAGAAATAACTGAAATTAATTTTAGTGAAGAGAAGAGTAAGCAAAAACTGCCTCCTTATTCCAACTTGCACTCACAACCGCAAAAACCGCAGAAAATATCTTCTCGTCTGAAGGATTTTTTATTTATTTTTTAAGCTGAGAGATTTTCGGTTTTTTTTATTTGATTAAGGAGATCTGAGGGTCGATCAAAAGGTGGCTCGCCATTGGCAACTGGTTGGTTTAGATGACGTGTCAAACTATGGGCCACTGTTTTTTTTTCTTGCTAGGAACTGGCGCTTCTATCACCATGCTGTGGTTTTAATTGTCTTCTCTGGTGGGGGCATATCTGGACACGTGTTGCGTAGTTTTGGGATTGTTGGGAGAGATATTTTTTAGAGGGGTTGCCACGGTGGCCTTGGAGAGCATGGTTTGAGATCTTATGGTGAAGCGTTTGACACGTGGAACGTTCCAGTGAACCTTTTCTTCGTGTATTAAAATTAAGTTAGCGATGACTTTTAATTTAATTTTAAGTTTTTCTTTAGCAATATTATTCTTCTGGTCTAGAACGTAGTGCACTGCGTGTCTTATCTGTTCACACTTTCTTTAAATTATGTATTATGTTTGGTATTATAATTGTTTTTATAATTATAATTTAAAAAATAATATTTTTTATAAAATATTTTTAATTGAGATTAGTTTAGTTTTTGGTTGAGGTTAGTTTGCTATTTATATATATTTAGTTAAAATTATTATTAAAATTGAGATTGAATAAAAAATAATTTAATATATTTGATTAAACATGCTTTATAACTTAAGCTTATAAAATAACTAAAATTGATATATATTAATATTAATAGTTTTTAATTTAAATATTATAGATTTAATTATCACTATTACATCATTAAATAAATAATATTTTATATTAAATATTTTTAATTATTTCATTAATTTATCTACAATCTCTTTACGAAATTCTTCCGATAAAGACTATAGTTTTTATAATTTTTTAAGTATGTAAAAAAATCAGGTAAAATACTATCAAAAATAAAATTAAAATTATAATCAAATTTTATAAATGTTACATCATCATGTGAACTCCTTTCAATTTATATAATATTAGTAAATAATATTAAATATTAATTTTTGAGTAAAACATAATTAAAAAATAAATTTGTTCTTGTCGGATATGATTAATGAATAATAAAATCACTGTTCACATAAATAATAATCTATTAATTAATTTACTTAACACTGTTCATATAAACAATACCGAATCCACTCAAAGGTGTTAAGATGATGATGATTACCAAATAAATATTAAAAACCCCTACTTGAGCTAAAGGAACGAAGCAAACAACAGCTTAAGTTGGGTTTTTGAGTTTTGTTTTTTTTGGGGTAACAGGGGGCAAAAGTGAAAACAATAAACATGGATCGTGAAATGTCACGGGTTTGTATTTTTTTATATAAAAAAATAATATTAATGTATCATAAATATATTTTTAATTTTTTTAAAAAAATAATAATAATTAATGTTATACTTCTAACTAGGTTTAATAAATTAGTTTTATTTTAATTAGATGATAAAAATGAACAATGATAATTAACATGAATTTTTTTAAAAAAAAACCATGATGATCTAGAAAAAAAACCTTTAAAAGTATAAAATTAAATAAAAAATAAAAAAATCAAATTGAGTCAACTGGAAGTAGCTTGATAGACAAGTAATTTGGATAATAAAGGACGAGTTAATTCAGGATAACCCATAAAACTCATGATTCAAGTTATAAGATTAGAATAACTCATATAAAAAAAATTGAGAAAAATCACAAAGTTGATTTTCTTTAAAAAAATTACATCAAAACATGATGTCAGGAAAAAAAAAGCCTAAAAAAGATGTTGATCCACATTAATTTTCTAGACTTGTGACTCGAATTATTAGACAAAAAGTAGCATATAAAAAAAAAATTGTGAAGTCCAATCCCCCGTAAATCAAACTTTGGAGGATGAAATAAAAAAATAAATTACATAAAAAAATCTAAATAAAAAATAGTAATTAAAATAACTAGATGGAAATCAAAATAAAAAATAAATTAAAGGGTAAGTATAAATTTTTGATTGAAAGGTTAAAATGAAAACAAAAATAACTTTAACAAAATGACAAAAAAAAAGCAAAAATAATCACAAATTTAAATTGAATGATGAAATTGATAACCATTAAGACTTTATGAAAGGACTAAAGAGAAAAATTAAAAATCAAAAAAATAAGAACTATATTAAAAAAATAATATATAATAAATTAAAATTGAATAAATAAATTAAAAATAAACAAAATTTTTATAAAAAGATTAGAAACAAAAATTAAAAATTAAAAAAATAATAATCAAAATTAAAATATCAATAATAAAGAGAAACAACCTATAATTTTGTGAGGGCAAAGAGGGAAAAAAAGCAAACAAAGAGGTCGATCGGCAATAAATCACCATGTTGTTGCTGACATATGTCATACAAGGAAAATGAAGACCCAATGACACTTACAACGACACAATAAACTTGTATTTTATGTCATTTAGAGGTGTCATGTCGCCGTTCAAAGTGCATGGTGTCTTCTATGTGCTAGCAATTATTTCAATTTAATTAATATTTAATTATTGTTAAAATATTAAAATATCATTGATGAAATTTATAATCACATAAACAACTTAAACGAAAATAATTAAACCCCTTGATGCATGATTTAGGTTTTTTTTATTGCTAAAGTGAACCTATCATTTTACTATATTTTTTTTAAAAAAAAAAAACAAAAATATCTTTATTAACCAATTTTAAAAAATTAACTTAGAAGATAATTAAGTCATTTTACAGTACTAATAAAAATTAAAAAAAACACTTACATTCTTAATCGATTTAATAACTAATAGGTCATATGAAAAGATCAAAATACTTTTTAGACCTTAATTTTTTTTTTGAAAGGATAAAAATATAATTAGACTGCATTGCATATGTACAATAAAAATGCATTCATTTATTATTATTATTACTGTTATATCTTTCCCTTATGGTTGCTATGTGTGAGACTATTTGTTAGGTTCCGCTGATTTACCATCACCCACTGTTTTCAAAATAGTTTTATTTTTTTTGTTTATTTGAAATGCATCTAAATTCTTTTGTATTTTTCCTTTTTCAAAATTAGATTGCAGGGTATTTTAATATATATAATTTGCAGATTTGAAACAATTTTTTTGGTAAGAAAATAGTTTTCTTTCTTTCTATATTTTAGCATGATTAGAAGTTAGCTCTTTTTGAACAATAGCATTTTATTTATTTGATTTATAAAATAAATAATGTTATATAACTTTTCAGAAAGACTAAATTCTAGTTGTAGGGACATGAACTCGAATAGGTATTTGACTTGTCATTTATAGGTGGAATAATTTTATTTTTAAATAAGAAAAAAATGAGAATATATAGGCCTTTTCAACATGTTTTTTTGCCATAAAAAATTCCTAATAAAAAATAAAAAATCCTATACATACATCTAATTAAATAAATAAAAAATTACTCATCCAATAAATATATAAAAAAATTATTAATAATAAGTAAAGATTAAACTAGAATAATCAAAAGATAAATATAGATCTATATATTTGATCTCGTAACGTGGGTCACAACACGTGTTATGCATGTCATAGGATTCAATAAATTTTTTATTTTATATATTATTTTTCATTTAATTATACAATAACAAAGTGTATAAAAATTGTTTTTGTATAAAAATTTCTTAAAATAAAAAAATAAACAAACACATGAGACTGAAATAAAAAAAAGTAGATCATTGATAACAAATAGATAATTTTTTTTTAGTTTTAAGTTAAATAAAAAAATAGATCATCAATAATATGGTGAAACTGTGTTTTTTTTTTTAAATAAGGGACAAAAAATACATTAAATAAAAAAATACCCTAAATATTATGGCATAACCTGTCAAACATGTGATCTAGGTTATGAACTCAACAGAGATTAATAAATATTTTTTAAAATTTATATTTAACCTAAATATAAAATAAAAGTAAATGAAAAAATAACAAAAAAGGAAAAAAAAAGAGAGAGAGCTGAGTTGAATATTTTTTTCTAAAATTTATATTTCACCTATATATAAAATAAAATAAAAATAGAACTTTACTTGTATAGGCCTTTGAAAAGAAAAATCTAGATGTGTGTGAGTTGTCAAGCCTAAACTAGCATGTCTAGTCTTTTTTTTTCCTTTTAAAAGAGTAAATAATGTGTTGTTTCTAGTCCAGATTTCAACTACATAGAATAACTTTTTTTTGCTTTAAAAACTCAATTTCTAATTAATTTCAACTTAAAAATACCTTACCAACATTTTAGATGTCTTTTACACCTTGATAAACTTATCCTTTATCAACAAATTTGAATCAATTTTTTTTTAATTTAATTTCACAAGTATGTATCCATATTGAAAAAATTTGAGGGCTATAATAAAAATAAATAAATAGCAAGTTCAAGTGAAATGTGGGAGAAAAATATCATGTCTTCTACCATGTTTCTTTTTTTTTTTCATTTTGAAGTATAGTTCCATTGATAGAATTAACAATCACTTGAAATAAAACTTGTACCATGTGCACCAGTCACAAATTTTTGGCAGAATAAGTTTTCACGGTTGCTGGCAGCGTGCAACTTAGGCTATCACGTTATTATTATTATTATTATAAGAGGGCTGCAAATGAGCGGCACGCAACCTGGTAGAAGCATGTGATGCAGTTAAGGTGCGGGGCCCGCTGGCCGTGCCAGTGACGAGGTGATTTCTAATTTACGTCTCGTCATGAAAAGCACGACCAAACCCAACGAATGAGCGCAGGCGAGCCCAGACATCTCTTAGACCATCTTTATCGAAGGAGGAAAAGGCACACGAGAAAGAAATTGATGGCATATTAGCAAAGCGGCCACCGCCACCGTCACCGTCACCGTCACCGGTTTAGCTAGGCATCTCCATCTATTTTGGGTCTTTGAATGTTTGTATTAGAACGAGAATCCAATCTCAGAACTCGTGGGAAACTCAATATTGAATTCCTCTTGGAAGAGATGAACTGGGTGAAAAAAACAAAATATAAGCACAAATACTATCTTCTAGGATACAGTGACGGAGCCACAATAAGAATTAAGGGGCAAATTGCCCTGTTAATCTTTTTTTTTTAATATATTTTATATTAAAATTTTAATATAATAATATAATAATTTTCTTTTTGAATTATTGTTTCTACATCCTTTTCTTCTATAATTTAAATTATTAATTGATTAAGTAAGTAATCTTTTATGCTTTATACTTAATATTTTAAGTGAGTTTCATTCATTTTTTTATTTTTATTTTTATTTAATTTTAGTTTTGTTTCTTAATAATATGATAATTTATGGTTTTGTGAAATTAATATGATTATATATAATATTATATGTATATGAATATGAATTGAAATGAGTTTTGATGAAATAATATGTATTTTGTTATGAATTTTATATAAAAAATAATGGTAATTAACATACTAGTGATTATAAATAAAGTACTAAACAACTAAAAAAATTAGAGATACAATAAAAATATATATTTATATTTATATTTAACCTACTTGTGTAAAACAAGAAATTAACAAAGAATTTTTGTTAATAATTTCACTAGTCCCTATAAGATTTAGAAATAGATAAATAAAAGATTCATTGTATATATTAAAAAATAATATCTTTAATGAAATTAATCTGGTTTATCATTTTTTTTTTAATTTTATCTAGACTTATAATTCTAGTCATGTATTTAACAATTTAACTTAAATGAACTATGTCGATCAGAAATTGTTGAAAAAATATTAAATAAATCAAAACAAAACACAAAACGTGCGAGGTGCACAAATACTATCCTCTTGGATATTTCTCTGTATAAGTTTATTCCCCAGGACTCAACAGGTTCTTTTTTAAAAGGAGGGATGCAGAAACAACAAGAAAAAGGACAACAAGGCTAAGTTTAAAGTCAGGTGATTTTCATAAAAGTGTAGTGTACATATAGGATTGTTAGCCTACAGCAACTAGCAAGAAAATAAATAGGAGAATTAAAGTCTGAAACATCTAGTTAGAAAATAAATGGTAGAATTAATTGTTGGTACTGCATTTTTTTTTAAATAGTTGTTAGGGATGTTAAAGAGATTTTATAAAATATATAGTTATTAGAAAATTAATTTTAAGAGTTTAAAAAACTTTGGTGGTAATTTAAGGCCAAAAAAATAAATTATTACCGAAGATAAAAAGTTCAAAAAATATAAGTGTTATCTTACGCATAGGAAGTAACAAAAGATTTTTCTCTTGCACAATCTAACTTTATTATATGCACGAGCTTATCACTTTATTTTTGTTGGTTAATAATCCATATCAAAGTTTATTATATAAACATTAAAAAGAGGTTTTATTTTTTTAAAGTAGGATTAAAAGGCCATTAGCATATACTATGTTTATAGAAAAAAAGGTTGTGTTTTTTTAATATATGATAAGAAATTTTTTTAGTTTAAATACTTTAATTTAAAAGGAGAAGATAATATCTTTGTAATATAAAATAATTTTTTTTGAAATAATCTTTTAAACTTCATTATTTACGACTAAGATATCATTGTTTTGATTTATTTTTTTTTAAAAAAATTACTTTATATGCATCAAATTTTAAGCTCATAATAAAAAAAAAATTTCTTGCAAAATAAAAAAGATATGAAATTTTTAGAGATGGTTGCTTTAACCCCAAGTGAGAGAAAGGAAGGAGCAAGGGTGAGTGAAAAAACTGAAAAACTGATTAAACCAAGAAAATTAAAAATAAATAACTAAAAAAATCAAACCGTGAAAAGAACTGATTAGAATTTTGAAAAAAATAACCAGTTCGGTTCAGTTTCAATTTTAAAAGTCTAAAATCAAAAAAAACCAAACAAAACCCAACCAAAAAAAAAAAAACTGAGCCAAAACCAGAAAAACAAACCAAATTGGTTTGAACTATTTTTTGTTCTAAAAAACTGAATTGAATTGAAACCGATTAGTTTGAATTGATTTTGTTTTTTCTTTTAATTTTGGTTTGATTTTTTTAATAAAAACCAAATTGAATGAAAAATGATCACATCTGATGAGTGCGGGCGGGTGAGTGTGATTTTAGTTATGATTTTTTAGGAATTTCTTATTACAAGAATGAAAAGATAAGATATTTTTTTAATGTTGCTGGCATGAGTTTTTAATAACGTGGCATGTTAATAAATGACCAAACTATAACTAATATGATAGACTAATTATAACTTGAATATTATAAAGTTTCTTGAATTGAACCAAATAGTTTTGAGGATTGGAAATCCTAATTCCTTAATTTGAGTATTCTCTTCTTTTCTAAATTTTCTTCTTTCCACCATGTTCTCCTCCTAAAACTCCATCTTCTTCATAATCAAAGGAAAAATAAAATAAAATGGAGAGGTCGAGTGTTCTTTCTGTGCTGCTGACGATTTTCTTTCTCCTTTAAATAATAGAACTTGCAGATACCCAGTTCAGGTATACATTCACATTTGCTTCTGGTGGATTACTCCTTTTGGATTTGATGTGCAACAGAGACATACCATTTGTATTATTTTCAGGATGGCGATTCTGCATTCTTCTCGAGTTTTAAGACTGTTGCATTGCTGGCTGGTGATTTCCTCAGGAGGATTACTCTACACATAATGTATGAGTGATTACAGTGATGCTCCTCCTCAAAGAAGTTTTTCCCAAACCCTGCGAGCAATATATTAAAACGAATGATGTCGTGTCCCTCGAGAAATAAGTAAATAAATAAATAGATCCTGAGGCTGGGGATCACGAGGCCATAGAATTCTCGTGATGGTTCGCTAGGGTTTATGGTTTTTTAACTAGTGACAGAACTGGATACTGATGAGTGAATTGTAAGGGCAAGCACGAAGGTGTAATCAAATCTCAATTGTAGTTTCCATTCTGAAAAAAAAACACGCAGAAGGAAAAGGTTTCAGTTGGAAGAATGGTGCCTAATTTGCACAGACAACAATTCCATTCTCAAATCCAGGGAAAATTTTGGCAGCTGCTGTCTTCTACTTGCGTCTTCCACAATAAATCAGCAAAGTAATCAATCTCGTAGTAAATGATTTTTTCCAGGAAGTTGCAAGCTAAAATATTTCCCATGCCATTCCAATATGAAAAAGTGGCAATATGTCACTCTGATTATATGATTCATCTCTCTCCCTGTCCCTCTCCCTTGTGTACGCATAGTACCAGTTTAGTCTGGGTGCCAATTTATATCCCACACCTCAAAATTATCATGAACTGGAAAATATCACCACTTCAGCGACACCAAACTCATAAACTAAGATAGTGGGAAAAGATAAAGAGTATATACACACAGCTTTTTTCAGAAAACAAGAGGCTACGAGAGTATATCAGAGCACATGAATATGCAATATTAGTTTCAGGTAAGGAGAATGCTTAAATTTTCTCATGTACTTTTAATATAAAGTTGATGCCTACAAAACTTTGACGGGTACTCAAACTTCAGTGTGCCTACTGAACTTTGACGGGTACTCAAACTTCAGTGTGAGATACGAAACTTGAATTTGAAGGAACGAGGATGAGAAAGCAAACCCTCTGCCAATGTTTCAGGCAAGGAGAATGCTTCGAGCTATTGTATTTGTCCAGCCTCATTACATATATGCAAGCAGCAAAATTTCAGTCAGAGCTTGGTCGTCTCTCAACCCATCTTTTAACAACTAAAACACCATCATAGAAGTCCTGCAAGAAAAATTCAATTAACGGGTAAGAATGACAAACGTAGTGAAAGAAGAGAGAAAGTTGAACGAAGGGAGGATGCGAATGAGCTTAACTGTTCCATTCATTGAAAGTGCAGCATCACGTTCTGCAGAAGATGAAAATGAAAGAAAGGCATAAGTACGGTTCTTTCCTCCTCTACGATCATACAACACCCTTGCACTATCCACAACCCCAAACTGGCTAAATAGATTCCTCAGCTCCTCCAGTTTTGTACTCCATGGAAGATTGCCTATTCACAACTTATGTGGATTTTCGTAAAATAGGTGTTTTGTGGTTGCTGAGTTCAGAGCCTTAGGGTTCCTTCTCCCTGCCACCGACATCCTAGAAAATATTAAACGAATTTCAGGCAATATGTTTGCTAATCAGATACAGAAATAATTACAATGACAATAAAAAATGGTAGCTAGTTCACACTCAACTGATCCATCCAATGCAGAGACTGCATTCCTTGCCGACTTTATAGAACTCATTGTGATGTTACCACATCCTCGGCTTACACCGGTCTCAGGGTTCCGAGAAACCTGCAATTAACTCAACAAGGAACCGAAAACTTGAGAGTGCAATCCCACAGCTTTATAAGTGGTGAATCTTGTTTCACTTTTTATATTCAGCTAAAACCCAAGCTTCCACCTTCCCATCAGGTTAATTTCGTTTCAATCTTTTTAATTTCAGCAAAAAGCCTATCTACCATGCTTGATAGAATTTCATCTTTCCAATTTTTGGATAAAATCCCACCAAGCTTCCAAATTATATAGTGTAGCTGTTGCAATTGAATCAAAACAACGAAAAAAACAATCGATTAATCATAGCTGCAATAGAACCAAAATAAAAATTCACTTGAATTGAGTGAGGACACAGTTGTCTGAATTTCAGATGATCGAATCCAAATTTGGAAAAATAAACTAGAATTCGTATTTCTTTATATAATCCAACCCAGATGTCACTAAGAAGAAAGGAAGGGTCCAAAGTGACGGAACAAAATATATACCTCAACAGAAAGAACAGAGCCGAAAGACTTGAACATTTCTACAAGGTCTGCAATGTCGGAACACCTTGGAAGATTACAGACGTATAGTTCGCATGGTTTGGTTTGCTTCTCGGATTCAAAGCCACCATTCTTCTGGCTCACGTTGTTAATCTCCTCCGCAATCTCGGGTTCCTTATCTTCAACTGCTAAAACAGTGAGACCTTTTCTTGAGGGCAAGTGAAGAGAGTTAGAGCGGAACCAACAGCAGCAGAGTTTTGGGGTACTGAAGTCGGATTGGCGGAGAGAATGATACTGAGGTTGTCCTTGGGGTAGCTGCTGCTTTGGTTTTAGTTTCGAGAGAAGAAGAGAGTAGTGTCGGGTCCTCCTAAGACCCTACTACGGGTGGCCATTGGAGAAATGAGCTCCGAACTTTCCAAGTGGATATGGTTGGTCAGCCCATTTGCGAAACGGAGCCTCCAGCTCCAAAATTTGCATGGATATTTTTTTTGGAAAGGCGGGTCGACCCTTTTACAAATAAGAGAGAACTTAAATTTCATTTGTGATAAAATTATGAATGTACGATTAAATGAGAAATTTTTAAAAAATACATACTAATACAATTCTTTTTAATAAATGGGTAATTTTATTTTTTTCTATATATTTAAATTATTTTTTAATAAATTAATAAAATACAATACATGTAAAAATATAATATGTGCTTGTGCCATTATATAGTTTTTTTTCTAAAAAAAACATTTTAATAAAGAAAGAAGAAAATATATAAAAAAATTGAAAGGTGAAATATAATTTCCATTAACATATAGCCGCTCCATTTCTCATAAATAGTATTTAAAATAAGAAATTATATATATATATATATATATATATATATATATATATATATATTTATAAAAAGGACACCAGAAAAACAATGAAGATGAGTACCGTAGATGGTGGTATGGGTTTGTATGGATCTATATGACCCGAAAATGAAGAAACCCAAACAAACTTAAAACAGGTGAAAGATCAAAACACCGCTCATCACTCCATCATCTGCTTGTTCATCAATATCCTCCTCCTCCTCCTCCAGATCCAAAAAGAAACAAAAATGGTAGCAACCGCAAATGGAGCAGTCACGATATCCTCAAAACCCCAACCACAACCACTACAAGAAGAACCCCAACAAGAAGACGAAACCACCCTCAACTCTCCCTCTATTAAATTCGGCACCCCTGAAGCCTTAGACCACGTTCGCAACCTAACCGACGTAGGCGCTATGACTCGTCTCCTCCACGAATGCATAGCCTACCAACGCGGTCTCGACCTCAACCTTGATACCCTTTTATCCCAACGTTCCGATCTCGACAAGAATCTCCATCACCTCCAAAAATCCGCTGATGTTCTCGAGATTGTCAAGGCCGATTTCGACCACATGCACTCCAATGTCCGCTCCACCTGCGATTTAGCAGATCACGTGAGTGCCAAAGTGCGTGAGCTCGATCTTGCTCAGTCGCGTGTTAATTCCACCCTCTTGCGTATCGATGCGATTGTTGAGAGAGGAAATTGTATTGAAGGAGTGAAGAATGCGCTTGAAAAAGAGGATTATGAGTCTGCTGCCAAGTATGTGCAGACATTTTTGCAGATTGATGCAAAGTATAAAGATTCTGGATCGGATCAGAGAGAGCAGTTGTTGGCGTCGAAGAGAACGCTCGAAGGAATTGTGGGCAAGAAGTTGTCCGCTGCGGTGGATTCCAGGGATCATTCGACGATTTTAAGGTTTATCAGGCTTTTTTCGCCTCTAGGATTGGAAGAAGAGGGCTTGCAGGTTTATGTTGGGTATTTAAAGAAAGTGATTTCGATGCGATCTAGGCTTGAGTTTGAGAATTTAGTGGAGTTAATGGAACAGAGTTATAATAATAGTAATGTTAGTAATGTTAATTTTGTTGGGGGTTTGACGAATTTGTTTAAGGATATTGTTTTGGCTATTGAAGAAAATGATGAGATATTGAGGGGTTTGTGTGGTGAAGATGGGATTGTTTATGCAATTTGCGAATTGCAAGAGGAGTGTGATTCGAGGGGTTCTTTGATTTTGAAGAAATATATGGAGTATAGGAAACTGGGGAAGTTGGCGTCGGAGATTAATGCACAGAATAAGAATTTACTTGCTGTTGGTGCACCGGAAGGGCCAGACCCAAGAGAGATTGAGTTGTATTTAGAAGAGATATTGTCATTGATGCAATTAGGTGAGGATTATACAGAATTCATGGTTTCGAAGATTAAAGGGTTGAGCTCTGTTGATCCCGAGTTGGTTCCACGAGCTACTAAATCATTTAGGAGTGGGAGTTTTAGTAGAGTAGTTCAGGAGATCACTGGGTTTTATGTGATTTTAGAGGGATTCTTTATGGTTGAAAATGTAAGGAAAGCTATTAAGATTGATGAGCATGTGCCTGATAGCCTTACAACGTCTACTGTTGACGATGTGTTCTATGTTCTTCAAAGTTGCTTGAGAAGGGCAATATCAACTTCAAACGTTAATTCCGTGATTGCAGTCTTGAGTGCTGCAGGTAGTTTGTTAAGTAATGAATACCATGAAGCTTTGCAACAGAAAATGAGAGAACTAAACCTTGGTGCAAAGCTGTTTTTGGGTGGTGTTGGTGTACAAAAGACTGGGACTGAGTTTGCCACTGCATTGAATAATATGGATGTGAGTGGCGAGTATGTCTTGAAGTTGAAGCATGAGATTGAAGAGCAATGTGCTGAGGTAACTTATAATTCTAGCTTTAAGTAACCAAAAGAAATAGCTTTTGTGCTTGCTAGTCTATGCCTTGCGTGTTAACTTGCTTGTGATTTTTGATCTAGTCACACTAGAAGTTAGACTATTAGAATATGTTTGTTATCCATTAATGTTCCACATAGAACATGTTATGGTAAGTGAAATGATAGAGATTTCATGAACTTCAAGGATTAAAAAAAATCAGAAGAATTGGCATCATCGTCTACATTTAATGTATGGCTGATTCTAATCTTTTATGTTGAACTAAATATTGCAATTAAATGAGTATTGATGTTTCTCAAGCATATTTCGATGATCCTTTTGTTTATTTTGTTGCTTATGTTCTGTTGTGCCCTTTGACATGGTTGTTTTCAAACTCCTGGATTACTTTTCTTTCTTGTTTGTTGAAACCACCTCATTGCTAATAATTAAAGTGCCCACAATAATTTCAATAGTTATTCCTTCCATGTTCGTTTTCTTTGTTTTGCTTTTATTCCAGTTGACATGGTTGATTTCAATCACTTGAATTGCTTTTATTCCTTGTTTGTTGAAATCACCTCAATGTCTAACAATTAAACCTACTGCAATAATTTCAACAGGCATTCCCTGCATCAGCAGATAGAGAAAGGGTGAAATCTTGTTTGTCTGAGTTGGGTGATGTGAGCACTACTTTCAAGCAAGCCCTGAATTCTGGCATGGAACAACTAGTGGCAACTGTTACACCTCGAATCCGTCCAGTATTAGATAGTGTAGCAACCATCAGTTATGAATTATCTGAGGCTGAATATGCAGATAATGAGGTGAATGACCCATGGGTCCAGAGGCTTCTCCACTCTGTTGAGACAAATGTATCGTGGTTCCAGCCTCTAATGACTGCCAACAATTATGATTCATTTGTACATTTGGTCATTGACTTCATTGTGAAGAGGCTCGAAGTGATCATGATGCAGAAGAGGTTCAGTCAGCTTGGAGGCCTTCAGCTTGACAGGGATGTGAGGGCATTGGTAAGCCATTTCTCTAGCATGACTCAGAGGACTGTGAGAGACAAGTTTGCTCGTCTCACTCAAATGGCAACTATCCTCAACTTAGAAAAGGTATCTGAGATTCTAGATTTCTGGGGTGAGAACTCAGGACCTATGACCTGGAGACTAACCCCTGCAGAGGTGAGGCGAGTGTTGGGTCTAAGGGTTGATTTTAAACCTGAAGCTATTGCTGCTTTGAAGTTGTGATCCCATCTATTTTGGTGAAGAAATGTCCCTTGCATATTCTTTTTGCCCGCCATGTGAATGATAAGAATCACCCTGTAGTTGCTCTTAGTCTAAAGTTATTTTGTCCGCCTTTTGTGCTCCTTTTGTTCTCTATTTCAAATGAAGTACACATTTTTTCGCCATCATCTTGAGCTTATTTGAGCGTTGTACTTCTGAAATTCAGAAAGTGTATAAACATTCTTAAAGATTTTATGAGACAAATAAGAAATTTTGGTTGTTCAGATTGGGAAGCTCACCGAATCAACTTCTTATATTTGCTACGGTGTAACATCTGCAAAGAGTATTACCGAATCAACTTTACATGCTTATTTTTTCGATAAATCTCTCATGATTCATTTTACAACAAGGTAATGCGTAATTAGTTTGCCAGCAACTGTGTTCTGTGAAATTAAGAATACGGTCTGTTTCAAACTGATGTTTATTTCTAATTTGCGACGTTGTTTATTCTGTGAAGATAGGAATTTTCGTCAGATTTTCACCGTTCTTTTCTGGGTAGCATCTTGTTCTCTCGAATCCCGTGGTATATTTGTTCGGGTCACATGGAGTGCTTTTGGGGACCTTGCTGATTCTGTTTATATTCACACGGATATCGGAGATACGGTTAACGAATACTTGCTCTGCCACCAGAAAAGCCCAGTTAGCCAACTCAAATGGAGTACCTTTCCCAGTGTCATTGAAGTGTGCCGTAGTTTGCGTCGCCAAATCTCAACAGGACCCTTCATGCTCCAACCACTAATTCTATCTTTAGGAGCGCACTCTCTCTCTCTCTCTCGTCTTTTTTAGCTAAGCTAACGATTAGCAGGACAGATTAACAATTTGGCGGTGCTCTGTGTGATGATTGCAATTTTTTTGATATAATCGTCGGAAAATGCTGTATATCCAACCATATCATTTTCATCCGACGATATTTGGAACGCATGCACAAACCATGTGATCCTTGAAATTTAACTGATATTGCTGGCTGCAATCGTTAGCCAACAAAAAAAAATAAAATTAAATAGCAGCAAGATGGGCTAAAAAATTGCAAAATTCGGAGCCATTATCCATTGGTACAAACATTCGAAGCTATATGAACCAAGAACAATTAGTCCATTGGAGGTTTGTTATTCAAAACGCTAGTACAATGAACGGACATGCTTAAGAGAACAAAGCCAAAATCTAAGATTGAAAAGGTAACCTAAACAACATAACTTGCTTACACAGTAATTTAGGGCCGCAACAAATGACCAGCTTTAATGAATATGGAGCTGTGCAGACCAACGAGCACAACTGGAGTTGATGAATGTTCCACTTCAAAACCTAGACACAAGCCGTACCTTCTGTGAATTTTGGATCCTCACATCTATACCGGCCATCAGGTCCAATTCCAAAGCCCTTTGGATCAGCAAAGACATTCTCAAGTAGCTGGCTGCGTGATGGATGAGGGCTCTCATCTGCAAATTCAACAGCCTCCTCAACCACTTCGTCTATCTTCTTCTCAATAGCCTTTAGCTCTGCCTCACTGGCAAGGCTGTTCTCAATCATGTACTTCTTCAAGGCTGTGATGGGATCTCTAGCAGCATAGCGAGCCTTCTCAGCTGCCAAAAGGAACCAAGAGATTGAGGGAGAGAAACGTGCATGGGCTTATGAAACAAAACTATAAAACAGAAAATGAGATACTAGTATCACGTGTTTTACCGAATCATTTCAAGGTGCTCTATTGAGATATTGAATACCTCAATGAGTTTATATGTAAATGCTTATTAGGCCTACTGACCACCTCAGATCATATACAGGGGAATCTCCCAAGTAACATATTTCCTTTTCTGGACTAGCATTGTTGGAAACTAATCACTAGAGCTTATTTCTCAGTAGCTTGGTTTTTTTCACGGTATCATAATGTAAAGGCCTTCATTTAGAGGAAAACAAACCAACAAATTAAAGTGGATGAAAGGATAGTAGACATAATTGCAATAAGATACCGTGAAGAACTCTGTGCTAATACTGTGATACCACAATAACAAATGGGAAGGTTTTTAACTCTGCTGAAGAGCCAAGAAGAAGAAACACAAAACAAGAAAGGGAACGGAAAGGTGCAGATGGGAAAAGTTTACTAAATAATAAAACACCTCCTTAAAAAGTAAAGCTGTACACTAGCAGGGTCAATAATAACCAGAATTTAACTCAAACAAGCCTCAATAAACCTATACATAGGTGGCAACTCATTTTGAACTATTTGCTCCATATTGCATCAAATCAAGATGGAGAAATGGAAAACAATTTTATTACTGCAAATGGTAGATATTTCAATAGGCACAGGAAATGGAAAAAATCAGAAGCATTTCACAAAAATCATACAGGGCCTGGTGTCCTTCATATCAGTTAAACTTGCAAAGGCAAAAGCTAAGTCACAAAACATAGAAGAAATGAGATTCTAAAGAGAAAATGACAATGATCAAATTGAACTGCTAAATGCAAATTCATTAAATTAATCAATGATCAGGAATAAAATAGACAGCCAACCAAGGAGAACCAAATGTAAATGCTCACCAGGGTCACGAAGCTCATCAGGATCAGCCAATGAGTGTCCTCTAAACCTGTAAGTTTCACATTCCACCAATGTTGGTCCTTCTCCTCTCCTAGCCCTTCCAATTGCCTCCTTGGCCACCTCCCTCACCTTCAAAACATCCATTCCATCAACATGAACACCTGGCATTCCAAATGCTGGACCCTTCTTCCAAATCTCTGGATCCGAAGTTGCCCTCATGTGCGACATCCCAATAGCCCACAAGTTATTCTCAACAACAAACACGATGGGCAATTTCCACAATGCTGCCATGTTCAAACACTCAAAGAACTGCCCATTGTTACAAGTACCATCACCAAAAAAGGCCAATGTCACATGATCACAATCCGCCTCCTTCAAAACCTCCCTCCTATACTTGCTGGAAAATGCTGCACCAGTAGCCACTGGAATTCCCTCTCCAATAAAAGCAAACCCACCAATCAAATTGTGCTCTTTCGAGAACATGTGCATAGATCCACCTTGGCCCCGGCAACACCCAGTAGTCTTGCCGAAGAGCTCGCTCATGACAGCACGAGCTGGGACTCCCTTACTTAAAGCATGTACATGATCACGATAAGTACTGACAACAGAATCCTCCCGCTTCAAAAGCTTGATGAACCCAGTTGAGACAGCCTCTTGACCATTGTAAAGATGAACAAAACCAAACATTTTGCCTCTATAATACATCTGGGCACACATGTCCTCGAAAGCTCTGCCCAATATCATATCTTCATATACCTCCAATCCTTCTTCTTTAGTGATCAACTAAAGACATCACTAATTAAATGAGTAAAAGAAGAAGAAGAAAGAAACATTCTTGATTTCTATTTCGTTCATCAGAATTCACAAAAGTAGCGTTAACATATCAACGTAAACGAAGCTTCTCCGTTTTAAATGTATAGCAATGCATCTAATTAAATCACAGAGCTAATTACATAGTTACAATCAATTTAAAAATTGAAACTTGGGATTTAATTTAACGTCATCCTAATTGACAAAGAAAATGACATGATTTCAATTAAAGCTTTAAATGGTATACGATAATCAGTCTCTTGTGCGCAGAAATGCAAACAAAAGCACAACAAAGCCAAAATAAAATCAAAATAGAAGCATTCGATAAGGGAAATAGTGGAGAGGTTAATTGTGGAATTGGTTACCAGATTGGAGGTAGATTTGACCTTCTTTTCCTTGACAACATCAGAGACAGCGACAACAGCCGATCGACGGTTGGGATTGGCCAAAACCTTGGATTTGGAAGCAGAACTAAGGCGAAGTTTGCGGGTGGATCCAAGAAAAGAGGAAGAAGAAGGGGCAGTCCTAAGAGGATCAAAGAAAGATTGGTGCTTTTCATGAGATCTGGAGGTAGTGCCGTTGAGAGAAAACGGCTGGGTGACTTTGGTAGCAGAGAATGCTGAAGCTGATGCCATTTAGAGCGGGAAAGGAAAAGAGAGGAGAAGTGAGGGGAAGAAGGACCAGGGGAAAGGGAGTATAAG